CAGCTTCGCACCGGTCGCTAGTCCCTCATCTGTCGTCGACGACGCCCCTTCAAACAGGCCCAGGAGACGGAGGGTCTCGGTGCGGACCTCTACGTTGGCCTTGCAGGTTGGTCCCCAGTGGAGGTCGGGTCTCAAAGATTTCGTGGTTGGCGTCCTTCTTTTATACCTAAAATGTATACAGGTGCACGAATTGTAAATCTTAACCTCTACTCCAAACCCTACTCAAAATCACCTAAGAAGAAACGCAGATCACAAGTCTTAATTAAGAGAGGAATAAAAACAAACAATTGTGGGTTTGGTGGGTTGGCACTCGACCTAACAAACTACAGTGTATGAGTGTCGTAGTCTACGTAGGTTAACCTGTGTAGTAATAAGATAGTAATCGAGTTAGTATAAAACTAAAGGCGTCGACAACACACTATGAAAAGCTTACTGAACGAAAAAAATATATTTGAACATCCGACATAGACAACCTCGTCGAGCCTCCGTCTTTGTAAACCATGTGGAATGGGTAAAAGATATTGAGTAAACAATATATATTGTCAAGCGGGTAGACGTCATGATCGGATTAATAGGTCACTTTGTGTACAGTAGCATGGGGCGTTGTCTGCTACGACTTTTGGACGTCTGCTGTTCGTTCTGTAAAAAAACGACTCTCCCCGTCCAGAAAGCGTCGCCCTGGGGTAGCCTCTAGTCCCCATCACATTCAACAACAGCACATCCGCACCACAGAAACCCCCCACGTTTGTAGTCTTTCGCACAGACCGACGAAGGGAGTAAACCTTTATTTTAGCGTCGCCTCCGCTGCTCGTCGGACGGTGCAGGTACGAACGTCCTTGCGTTTTTGTGCCTCCGGCCCGTGGACCGGTTCAGAAACTCAATATCGAAACGGGGCCGTTCGAATTGTCCTGGTCGAACCGTACACGTTGTTTTTCGTGTGTCGAGTTAAAATGTGTGTGAGTGTGTGCGTTGGTCGTTTTACCCTTCGGGTCGCGTTCAATTCCCCCCCCACAGTATCTAAAGGTCCGTTTCTCTCGCAGGTGTACAATCACTCCATGAACTAAAATAACATACATGGAATACATTGACCTTAAATATTAATATTCTGTTGTTATATTCAGTACCAAATCAATCAAAAGACTATTTTTTTAATTTATTTGTCACCCGCGTTGTGTCATAAATCGTCCCGTGCGTTACACACGTTCAGAGGGTGAATTTGACAACTCTCCCGTGACATAAATAGAAGGACCATGAATTGCCATACCTTCCTCGTTTTTTACTCTATGTTTTTAGCGTCTTTTAACGTCCGTAGACTAAAAATTTCTTTAAAAAACGTTTAATAACAACCTTTTATTCATAAACCAGTCGGATGTTTGTTTGTTATTAAAGACCGACGAGTCCGTCTGCGACATTGAAGGAAGAAATTCTCCGCGAGGCGAGACAGGAGGTGAACAATTGACATAATCACTGTGGACAAACTTGAGCCCGATAGTCATATTTTCTGTGCGACAGGTGTGTGGCAGTTTTTTCAGTGTCGAGGTTTGATCGTTGGGATACCGGTTACTGCGTTTCTCCTACAGTTTCCTGTGGTCTTTGGCTTTTTAACATCTGCGACCGTGGTCCCGACCCTTCTGACTTAGACCGTTTATCCATTTCGTCGAACCACACTTCTTTAGTTGACACCTTCCGTTAATAACTTTTACCTCTGTACGTTCTGGTGACTACTTACGAGGGAGCTAGACCCCCGGAGCGTGCCGTTCTAGAGGGTGGGGCACCCCAGTTTTACTAGTGTTCTTAGCCCACTCGTTTTTAGGCTTGGTTGTGCCCCCCTTCGGTCCGAGTTACTGGACGTTCTCTCGACCCTTCTGTAAAGCATTAACCCATCATTGTACCCTGTATGCAAGGGCAGGTTTGCTTTCACTAACTGTACGGCGGCTCAATCACTGGTATCTTTTTATTTACAAAGCAATGTTAGGGAAACTTCCATCCTACATCTGCTCCCTGATGTCACGGCGTATTGTAAATGGCTACTGCCTGAGATCGAATGCTGTGGTTGTATTAAATGTGCCAACTGCTAGGACTGTCTTAGGGAATACAGCTTTTAGATGCGCAGCTCCGCTAATTTGGAACAGTCTGCAAAAGGAATGGAAGTTGAGCAGTTTGGTTCCATTACCTGTTTTTAAAGCAAGGATAGATGCTATCCAATCGGAAACTGTTGCTATCTGTAAATGCTACTAGCTATACAAACTGTAGTCAATATAAATATGCCATATGATGTCCTCTTAGTTTTTCTGTCATGTTTGTATTCATGTTGGAACCTACTTGCAGCAGGTCACCATTGAAAAAGAGGTCAATGATCTCAATGGGTTTTCACCTGAATAAATAAAGGTTTTGAATTGAATTGAAAGTGTTTTTTCCTGTGGTTAAAATACATTTTCCGGCATTTCTTGGCTTCCATGCCAATACTGCCTGTTTCTCCAAGCTGGGGGCGTGCTGACCCCCGGTCTACTGTATACATTGACTTAAATAAGCACCTCATAGGACTTCCAGTTCAGCGCCCATGATGCCGGCAGCTTAATGTTGGAGCTCCTTAACCCTGACAGCAAGACACCTTCTTTCTGTGGTTAAAACTGTCCTAAAGACATGTATTATTAACCTGTTAAGCCCGGCAGCCGCGGGGGCTTTTTCACGAAACAGGTTTTTTCACGAAACTGTGTCTCAGGGCTTCTTAACATTTAACAACCTATTAATGTGTCATACCCACTCAACGGGAAGAAACTCAGCTAACTGACAATATGAACAATTTTTTTACCGAAACAAAACACAAGTCTCACAAGAAGCGTCTAAATGAGCCCTTAGCGAAAACGGGCTAATGCTATTTCTGCTCATAACTCTCAAAAACGATCTTTTATACTTCATACTATCTCTATATTCCATTGGTATAAGTCTCATCACTGAACGGCCAGAACTCAATGAACGAGCAGCCAGAATAGAGCAATAAAACAACATCAGTTTTCAAAACCATAACAATAATTATGTCTTACCTTTGCTGTTTTCTGATCAAAAGTTGTGTTCAATGGCATTAAAACGATAAAAACGCTGCTGAAGGTTAATCCAATGTGTCTGTGTCACTTTGAAATGATTACTGATAATCCATCATTCCATTTTTTGCAAAAACTGAGATCTCATGTCCCTTTGTGTGAGAGCTACAACCCAGCTTCCGGTTTTGGGCAAACTGCGTGCGCATCACTCTCAATCCTCAATGGTAACGTGTAGGTGGATTTAGGAACTAAATTGGCTCTAACGGTTCAAAAGAGGTGTCAATCGTCAAAATCGACCCAAATGACCCCAGAAGTGAGGTTTTTTTTGCTCTCTAAAAAGGTTAAATGTCACTTGTTTTGCATCAATCTTGATACAGGGGACTTATTGTATGTTATAGTTTGGATTCCTAAAGCTTTTAGTCTACTATCCCATCATTCAAGTGTGGTTTTCACTATAAGTAATGTTTTCTTTTGGCCAGACACTATAATTAAAAAATGTTTTACTATGTTTATTCTGAATTTATTTTAAAATAAAACAATTCTATATTGATTCTTACTTTTCTACATCCAACTCACAGGTTTATCATTGCTTAGAGAAAAAAGATTATTAATGTACCCCTTTTAGAAGTGAAGATGTAGTCATTTGTTCTGGGAATGTCATTTTCGAGCCTGAGACCTGAAAAACAGGCTACAGGCTTAACAGGTTAACAAGGCGTTAGTGTAATGACTTAGCAGAAATGGAAAACTGCCGGAAAAAACGAAAGACAAGCCTTCTCCAGATATAGAAAAGTCAGCGGACGGTATTCCGGCTAACGGCGACCATTGTGATCCTGAGATGCGTGTGTTAGCATTTTTTCGCTCAGGGCTAATTCAGAGCCTTTGTTATTACCCTTATGTTTCGTTTTGCTAAAAATTGTTAATATTGTCTGATAGCTGAGTTTCTTCCCGTTAAGTGGGTATGACACATTAATAGGTTTTTAAATGTTAAGAAGCCCTCAGACGCTGTTTCTTGCAGATGTTGCGATATTTTCTCCCGGGGGAATGGGGCTTAACAGGCTAAACTTTGAAGTCAACATGGACAAGGATTTCTTAAAGCTCCATGACCAATGAACAATCAAACTTCAAGTGTTTTTTTAATTCAGAAGAGAAGCAAGATTTCACCTTCACACACCTCGGTCCTCTTTGGGCCCTCTGGCCGGTCGCTTCATTTATTATTGAACGCCCCCTCCCCCTCACAGTGCCAGCGTTGCCAGTCGGGTGAACACAGAGCAGCGAGGCCTCAGCCCTTCTGGCTCCGGGCCCTCTGATCCTTGAGGAGCGGAGGTGAGAAACGACCGGCCTCCTCAGCTGGTGAATAATTAACGGAGGGGGGGTGAGCAGCTGTGGAGGGGCGTTGGCTCATGTCCTCTGGGTGCTGAGACATTTAGGCCTGTTTGTTTTGTTATTGTGGTTGTCGCCAAAGTGAACTAAAATCTATCCTCTTTTTACAAAAAAATCATTTTACCCTTTAACTTTTGCCAGTTGTTGGAGACTGAAATAATTCATAGGAAAGCAATAACCAATGTATCAAAAGCATTGCCAAGATCATTTCGAAAATGAAGTCTACAGCTGTTGCTGTCCTCATGTCTTGAAGATATTCTGAGTGGCTTGTCAATACAGTGCAGATGTTCTTGTTGTATCTCAGGATGACAAAATTCATATTTTGTGTTTTTATTGATTTTCAGTAGTGAACAAATACCTTTAAATATATGTTTTTTTGAAAAAGGAGCAGAACAATTTATACTGATTCTTATTTGGATGTATTGTCCAGATAAACACAAAGAAAATGTGTTGTGTTCCTTTTTTTAAGATTACGTGTGTTTGGTACTTTGGCAACATGTAGTGTTTAGAAACTCATTCAGGTAAATAAAGTTGCAAAGGAAGTGGCTGAGTGAGAGTTTCAAACTGATCCACCTGCAGGTGAGCTGCTGCTGCTCAGCAGGGGGGGGCATCTGACGGAGGGGCAGCGGTTGGTCCTGAACACCAACATCCTGCTGGCGTGGGACTCTTCGGGCCATCCAGAGGAGCTGGTCTACACGCTGTCGGCCCCCCCCCGGCACGGCCTGGTCCACGGCGTCCAGCAGCCGGGCGTCCCTCTGGCCAGCTTCACTCAGCTGGACATAGCCGCACATCGAGTGTGCTACACCCATGACAACAGCCACCACGCAGACACAGACTCCTTCAGGTGAGAATATACACATGGAGGTCTGCAAGGGAAATATTCAAATGAAGTTATCATCATCTTGGTTAAATAGCGATTGGTCCTGTTTTAACTAGACATAATATATAAGTAACTTGAATTTATTTAATATTTCCAGCATGTGTAATGCACCCATCCGTGTGTCAGCATTATATCCAGCTGTTTCAATAAGTGAAACTATTTTTGCAGGAAATCATAACATTCTGCACACATGGGGAGAATATATGGCAAATGATATGCCAACCTATTGTGTGACGAGGATATTTCTGTCAACCCTAAAAAAGAATCACTCACAACATTTGGCCGGCGAAAGAGAAAATGGGCAGCGAGACAAGAGAGTGTCAGGAGACGCAAAGCTTTTCTCAGCTACAGTATGTTTATCTGCTTTTCCAGCCAATTTGGCAACAGCAGGGTTATTTAAGGGGGAAGGGGGAGGGGGGAGGAGGGTGACTGTGACCTGGAGTGTGTGCAGACCCCGGGTTTATCACCCAGACCCAGGCTGTTTGGCTCTCAACAAGCCAGACAGATCACAGCCAATAATCAGACTGAGAGAATGAAGGAGGGCAGACAGACAGACAGACAGACAGACAGACACACAGACAGACACACAGACAGACACAGACAGACAGATACAGACAGACAGACAAACAAACAGACAGACACAGACACACAGACACACAGACAGACAGACAAACAGACAGACAGACAGACAGACAGACACAGACAGACAGACAGACAGACACACACACACACACACACACACACACACACACACACACACAGACACACACAGACACACAGACAGACAGACAAACAGACAGACAGACAGACAGACAGACACAGACAGACAGACAGACAGACACACACACACACACACACACACACACACACACACACACAGACACACACAGACACACAGACAGACACAGACAGACAGACAGACCTGTGCATTACTTGTGTTTGTGTGTTTGCTGTGACAGCAGATGATGAATAGGCATTACTAGTAACAACAGCACTGGCATGGCGTCTGTGGCCAGAGTGTCTGGGCAAACATGGCCGACATTGAAGCCAGATGTTGCACAAGGACCTTCCTCTGAATGTGTGTGTGTGTGTGTGTGTGTGTGTGTGTGTGTGTGTGTGTGTGTGTGTGTGTGTGTGTGTGTGTG